AAAGAATCTCAAGGCATACCCATCGACGCAGAAGCTGTGGCATCAACTTCATGCGTATCCCCAAGAAATCATTCCTCTGATGGATCAGACCGTCAAGGATGTGATGGTGGAGCTGGCTGGCAAGGAAATGCAACGGCAGCGCGCTCACGCTCGTTCCAAGCACACCAGGGATCTCAGCTCGGCACCCGCCGTGCCCAGCTCTGATGCTCTCATGAGCGATGCTGCTCGGGCTCCTCCGGCTGAAATCCAGGACCTCGTCCAGGAAGTCGAGTCCAACGCGTACAAGGTCATGCCTTTCGGCCTTGACTCTACCGTTAACATGAGAGACCTTGATCCTGCCGGTATGTTGATAACCCACCTGGTATGATAGTTCAGTGCTAACGTGCCTTAGATATGGACAAGTTGGTGAGCATCAAGGGTCTGGTGATTCGGGCTACACCCATCATCCCCGACATGAAAGAAGGTGAGACTCATGAATAATTCATTGGTGTTCCGAGACTAATATGTTTCTTAGCCTTCTTCCGCTGTCAGATTTGCAACCACAGTGTTCAAGTCGATATTGATCGTGGTCGTATTGCGGAGCCCACTGTTTGTCCTCGTGAGGTCTGCCAGGCTAGAAACTCGATGCAGATTATCCACAATCGTTGTGCTTTTGCGGACAAGCAGGTCATCAAGCTGCAGGAAACCCCCGACAACATCCCCGATGGCCAAACACCTCACTCGGTTTCGCTCTGCGTGTATGACGAACTTGTTGATGTTTGCAAGGCCGGTGACCGCGTGGAAGTAACTGGTATCTTCCGATGCAACCCGGTGCGCATCAACCCCCGCCAGCGGACGCAGAAGACGCTTTTCAAGACCTACGTCGATGTTCTGCACGTCCAGAAGATCGACCGCAAGAAGATGGGTATCGATGTGTCGACTGTTGAGCAAGAGTTGTCGGAGCAAGCAGCCGGGGATGCCGAGCAGACACGCAAGATCACTGCCGAGGAGGAAGAGAGAATCAAGCGCACCGCCAGCCGGCCCGATGTGTACGAGCTTCTCTCTCGATCCCTGGCGCCTAGTGTCTACGAGATGGATGATGTCAAGAAGGGTATTCTGCTACAAATGTTTGGCGGCACCAACAAGACCTTCCAGAAGGGTGGTAACCCACGCTACCGTGGTGACATCAACATTCTTCTGTGCGGTGATCCGTCTGTCGCCAAGTCGCAGCTGCTCCGATATGTTCACAAGATCGCGCCGCGCGGTGTCTACACCAGCGGCAAAGGTTCATCGGCCGTTGGTCTCACGGCCTATGTGACCCGCGATCCTGACACCAAGCAGATGGTTCTCGAGTCCGGTGCTTTGGTTCTCTCGGATGGCGGTATTTGCTGCATCGACGAGTTCGATAAGATGAATGAATCGACGCGCTCTGTTCTACACGAAGTGATGGAGCAGCAGACTGTGTCCGTTGCCAAGGCAGGTATCATTACCACCTTGAACGCCCGCACCAGTATCCTTGCCTCTGCGAACCCCATCGGCAGCAGATACAACCCGAACCTCCCGGTCCCGCAAAACATTGATCTTCCTCCCACCCTACTGTCTCGATTCGATTTGGTTTATCTTATGCTCGACAGGACGGACGAGCAGGAGGACCGTCGCCTGGCCAAGCATCTTGTCAACATGTACCTGGAGGACAAGCCCGACAACGCAAGCAGCGAAGAGATCTTGGTAAGTCTGGAAGAATGTCATATGTGTAACAACAGCTAATTTGTTCCCTCCACACAGCCCGTCGAATTCCTCACAGCCTACATTACCTACGCCAAAACCAAGGTGCACCCCGTGCTTACCCCCGCTGCCGGAAAGGCCCTTTCCGATGCGTATGTCGCTATGCGCAAGCTTGGAGACGATATCCGGTCGACAGATCGCCGTATTACCGCCACTACGCGTCAGCTGGAATCCATGATCCGACTGTCGGAAGCCCACGCACGCATGCGCCTCTCCTCCGAGGTAACAGCCGACGACGTGGAAGAAGCCGTGCGCCTCATCCGGTCGGCCATCAAGCAGGCCGCCACCGACTCCCGCACCGGTCTCATCGACATGGGCTTGCTCACCGAGGGCACCAGTGCCAGCGAGAGACGCAACCGGGAAATGATCAAGCGCGGCGTGCTCTCCGTGGTGGACGAACTGGCTGGCTCAGGTGGCTCAGCTCGGTGGGCTGAAGTTTTCAGACTTCTGAACGAGCAGAGCAGCACACCCCTGGATAGCAACCAATTCAGCGAGGCAATCTACGCCTTGCAAAACGAAGGCATCGTGAATGTCATTGGTGAGGGTGCGCGGAGGAGCATCCGGCGCAGTGCACAAGCAATTGCCTGATCTCTCCCCTGCCTCGACGGTGGACTAGCTGATGAGACTACGATACCATGGAACTACATAATTATTGGATGGGTGCGAATTACATTGATTTATTATTTTCATCACATGTCATTATCTGAACTGCGGAGACGGTGTCTGGTGTTGGGTTGATTGATACGTATTGCAACAGAACAAATCAATGTATCTAACGGGCATTATCACGGGGTTTATAAACCCAATGCAAAGACGTATGATTGGACATGACTACTTTTTTACAATTTCCCCTGGCTTGGCATGGAATATTAAGCTAAAGGTCTCGCCGCCCTTAGCTGTCTTGTAGGGCTCATAGCAGCAGCCTCTTTCAGCTCGCTAGTACTAGTGGAACTGCCTGGGCGAAGTTTCTCACGCTTGGACTACTAGTCGGTCTTTTGTCTTAGATCCCCTCGTAGTATGAAAAGATCGGTCCTGGTGGCGGAACACCGACGGCCAATGCAGGGTTACTAGTAAAGGTGTTTTGAAAATACCACTTCGTGCTATTGCGAGAACGAACTACTAGTATCTGTGAAAATATATTGCTGCCACAGTTTGACCTGGTTCTACAGAAATACTACTAGTGGCGACTAATAAAATAGCCTGCCTCCAAGGTACTATATAATAGCAAGTACTAGGCCGGTGGGCACTACGGTATTATACAGAGGGAAAGTTTCACAACTGCGATTGATCTCGGCTTTAATTGTATTTGCTCTGTGGTGGGGGTGTATTGCATGTTCAGGAGAGTGATTGGTAACTCTTTGCTGAATCTAGAGATGTATCATGTGCCTGAGGTAGGTTAGATAGAACGAGTTGAAGCCTGCTAGTATATATATGGAAAGTGAAGGCACCGACCGATACGATACATCAGATAGTAGTACTAATAATACTGAAACGTAATGGGTGCAACTGGTCTCAAGGGTTCATACAGTATCATAGTATATATCAAATTGCCTATTTGAAGAAAATTCTTTCTATCTTTCCAGTATCTCTCATCTTAATAGTATGCGATTACATACAAGAAGAAAACAAGGCAGACGAGCAGAAGTCTGCCAGACGTGAACTAGTACTACTGCACTAAATCAAGTATTCTAGTAGATCTCCTCACAGAATACATCGGGAATCTACCCAATAGACTTGGATTGTTCCGACTCATAACGTGGGCTGATATAGACATATCTCTAGCAAGGGTCCCTGTCCGACCTGCGCACATTATGAATATATTAATTACCGGAGTCTAGCTTCGAGGCAAGTAATCTGTGACATTGAAGAATGACACACGGGTCATACGTAGACGAGAAAGGGAATAGGCTACTTGATTCTGGGTATGTATAGCAGATACAAGATACATACATACATAGTTACATACACAAAATAGGTCCGTCCTGTTGATTATAACAGCTAAAAGGGGAATTTACTAGCGTGCCGAAGAGGAGTTTCATCTTAACCTCTGTATCGTCTTTGCCGGGGCGATGAAGCCGATTGGTTATGAGAGTAGGCCCCATTTGCTGCCGCGGCGATGATCGAGGATCCAGGCCTTGAGGTTCCTGCACGTTTAGCTAACGGTGGCGTTGATGGGGGTTGGATTGTGTTACTGTTACCATCTGGCTGCAGCCGGGTGAGACATTAACACACACTACCTATGGAGTAGACTACTTTCTACGAGTAGTACTTGGTCTTGTGCTGCTAGCTGGGAATGAAACCAGGGAGCCTTTTCCGGGTCCTAGTTAGGCTAGTACTCTAGTAGATAGAGAATGGGGTGAGACGGTTGGCATGTGAGACCACCATCTCTTTAGTCTAGCTGTTATCGAATGGTAGATGGTAAAGGAAGCACAAGACACTAAGTACTAGATAACCAGGTATTTTAACAATTTCAGAGGGGAATTGGGTTACCGGTACCGTTGATATGCGATTATACCCATCCCCACTGACCTTACGTGCAAAATGGTGAATTTGCAGAGCTCAGAGGTATTGGAAATTACCCGGACGTATAACGTGGGATGGAATTGGTGAAAGGATGACCTCGTATCGATAGCAAACCACCGGCTAGTCCCGAAGCGGGAAAGCGGTGATGAGGGAGAGCAGCACCTGCGCAATCGAGTGGCTGAGAATGCATCAAGCAACGGGAGTCATCCAAGCTATGATTTAGAGCAGTTTTTAGGGTCTTCTCCATGCAAACTGGAGCATGTCTGTCATTCTCCCCGATTCCCCGTGGTATTGGCGTGTCTTGTCCCTCCAGTTGCACCCTCTTTTGACATGCGATTCTTACCTAGGAGATTGATATGACCCAATGGTAATGGCACGGGACTGCAATCGCAGCTCGGTATTACCGGTACCAGACCCAAAGCAAGGGCCAATCTTGGGGCCGATAGCGTTATCGGGAGGAGTCACGGGTTGACGTCGACCGGGCCTGAGGTCTCCGCCATCCTGGGACGGGTCTTTAGCAAGCATCATGAGCTTCGACCGGCTCTTGTACATAGTCGCCTTCTCTTGTCCGTCTCCACTGCTGGCTCCCTGCGCCTTCGTCTAGTAATTAGCATCATCTCGACCAGATTAGGTCCTTTTCCTTTGGCTACTCTCTTTCGATTTTTTTACTTTTTTTCGGCCCCCCCCCTCCTCTCTCAGCTTTCTTTTTTCTGTTCGCTCTCTCTGACGACCTGCTTTTACGTCAATCATGATCTTTTCTTCCGACCTCTAAACAGCTCTCCCCAAACATCCACCAAATCGTTAACGCCCCTTACTCACACCCTGTTTGCCTCCTATTTCTATCCCAAGAGCTTAGTCAATTGACTTATTCACTATGAGGTTTGTAGCTCTTTTCCAAACTTTCCATCTGATTGGATCGCCCAGCTGACTGGTTCGTCTCTTGTCTAGGTTCGGAGAGCACCTCCGATCTTCTATGATCAAGGAGTACTACTGGTACTACATTGCATACGAGGATCTGAAGAAGGCTCTCAAAACCGGTTATGTCACCGAGCCTACGCCCGAAAACGCGAGGCCCGACCGCCAGGCCTGGTCGGAGGACGATGAGAAGCACTTTGTGACCCTGCTGGAGAGCGAATTGGACAAGGTCTTCAACTTCCAGCGAATCAAGAGCGCGGAGATCGCTCGTCGCATTCAAGCCAGCGAGACGGAAGTCAATGATGTGGTTTCCCGCTTGGATAATTCCTCCAGCTCTCGCTCAGACAGCGCCTCAAATTCGCGTCCCAGCCGGAGGCCCCCTTCCGACGAAGACTTCTTGTTGCTCGAGCAGGTCTTGAGTGACATCATCGCCGACGTCCACGATCTGGCAAAGTTCACCCAACTGAACTACACTGGCTTTCAGAAAATTATTAAGAAACACGATGTACGCTTTAATTCTCATGCGCTGCTAGAAACGCAACTTCGGTGCTAATCGTTTGTTTCTAGAAACAAACCGGGTGGCACTTGCGGCCTGTCTTTGCTGCGCGACTCAATGCGAAGCCGTTTTTCAATGACAACTATGATGCCCTCGTCGTCAAGCTTTCGAAGCTTTACGACCTTGTCCGTACCAAAGGTAATCCCGTCAAGGGTGATTCGGCCGCCGGAGGCAGTCAACAGAACTTTGTCCGCCAGACGACCAAATACTGGGTTCATCCCGACAACATCACTGAGCTGAAGCTCATTATCCTTAAGGTATGCGCGAGAACATCTGTCAATCCCTACGAGATCGTTGCTGACAAGAGCAGCACCTTCCTGTGCTGGTTTTCAACCCTAGAAAAGAATTCGAGGAAAAAGATGCCGCTATTTCATCCATCTATTATGATAATACCGATACATGGGAGCTCTACCAGGGTCGCTTGAAGAAAACCGAGGGAGCGGAAGCCATCCGACTGCGCTGGTATGGTGGCATGGAAAGTGACCAGATCTTCGTGGAGCGGAAGACCCATCGCGAGGACTGGACGGGAGAAAAGTCTGTCAAGGCGCGTTTCTCACTGAAGGAGAAGCACGTTAATGCCTATCTTTCCGGTCGCATGACCGTGGAGAGCATCTTCGAGAAGATGCGCCGGGAAGGTAAGAAGAGCGAAGAGGAAATCGACAACTTGGAGCAACTGGCACGGGAAATCCAATACCGAGTCATCACGCGAAAATTGGTCCCTGTGACCCGATCTTTCTACCACCGAACCGCCTTTCAGCTTCCCGGAGACGCTCGCGTGCGTATATCTCTCGACACAGAGTTGACAATGACTAGGGAGGACAACCTCGATGGTCGCAGCCGGGCGGGAGACAATTGGCGGCGGATGGATATCGGCGTGGATTGGCCTTTCTCCCAGCTCCCTCCCGAGGACGTGGAGCGCTTCCCCTATGCCGTGTTGGAGGTAAAGCTTCAAACGCAAGCGGGCCAAGAGCCACCGCAATGGATCAGAGATCTGACGGCCAGTCACCTGGTCGAGGCGGTGCCCAAGTACAGTAAATTCATCCACGGCACGGCCACCCTCTTCCCCGATCGTATCAATCTTCTTCCCTTCTGGATGCCGCAGATGGACGTCGACATTCGCAAGCCGGCTACTCGCAAGTTCGGTATCCAGCGGCCTCCGGCTAGCGCACCTTTGTCCACCACCGAAACACCCGAGGATGACGAGTCGGACGAGGAAGACTCGAACGAAGCACGCTGGGTTGATAGCACGAACACGGCTGAGGCCACGACTGCCGATCAAGAAGCCCTGTTTGCCGATACCGATGGAAACGCCTTGGATATAGAGGAGCGAATCGCCGCTCAACCACTTCCCGGAGACGAGGATTACCCGTTATACGATTCGGATGCAGAATCGGTTGATTCGGACGAGTTGGAGGAAGCGCGTCGTGTGGGTGGCACCTACTACTACAAGCAGTTGGCAAAGTACTACGTCCACAATGCTGGAAATGCCATGGTACACTGCTTCACAGCGCTCATCCCGCGCCCGCGTCCGACCAGCATGCCGCCCCCGGAACAGAATGGAATTGCCGTCATGGGCAACAAGCGCACGGTGAAGCGCTTCCAAGCTCCCAAGGGCAAGCGTAAGTCAATCCCACCTTCTTTGTATCCAAGCAACATCCCCCTAACAGTCACAGGAATCCACGTCCCCGTCCGCGTCGAGCCAAAGGTCTACTTTGCCGCAGAACGTACCTTCCTCTCGTGGCTGGAATTTTCCATCCTCCTTGGTACAATTGCAGCTACACTGTTGAACTTTGGAGATGACTACATCACCTTCGGATCCTCTTGGGCTTTCACCGTGCTGGCTGCGGTCGCCCTTCTATACAGTCTCATGCTGTACGTGTGGCGTGTCGACAAGATACGCAAGCGCCGCGACGTCAAGCGTGTATACTACGAGAAATGGGGACCGACGGTCGTCGGTCTCGGACTGGTGGTTATCGTCATGGTTAACTTTGGTCTCCGGGCCCGCCAAGCCGGATTCTTGGCTAAAGATGGAGACCTTGACGACGCTCCTCACGGAGGCGAGCTGTGATGCTTCTTCGAATTCTGGGTATAAATTGTTGCGACGAAGTTATCTATCTGAATGAGTGAATCCGTTTCGTTTCTAAGCTATCATCATTATATTATCCTCTGCCCTTCTTTCAGTTGAAAGGCTGAAAGAGAAAGCTGTACTGATTCTCATGGTCTGATTGTACAAAAGCTTGTGTATGATTGTTTCTTTCAGTTGTTTCGTTAAGATACCAGATCCTTTCCTGCCCTGTCCTTGATGTTGGTTTAGTTGATATGAGGTGGAAGAAACAGAAGAGAAGAAAGCACCAGAAATTGATTGACTGATTGTGTGGTTGGTTGGTATGTCAGTATAGCAGTTGACAGACAGTAGGTAGTTATCAAACCACTACAAGAATAAATTGATATACAACAGCAGCAGTTTTCAACATCATTAATAAAGTCTTTCATCTCATGCATCCATCATCTCGTAATCTACCAACTAATCACCAGTACAAACAGGCAACTCTAGTTCCTATCTGAAACATCATCACATCCAATGATACGAAGTAGTGAAATAGAATAATCACGGATTCAAATCCACCACCGGATTAACCGTATCCTCCAAACTGATCGCATCCGGATTCGACCCTCCCACCCCGGAATACCGATTAATCCATCCCAGCACCTGCTGATACCAAACAAGGCTATTTTCCTGACCGGTGACCCTACACAAAACACAGCCACATTAGCATCATCCATCCACAGCACCCATGTCCATCAAAAAAGAACAAGCAAATATAAAGATGGGAAAGGGAGGGGTAAGGGGATGTATACCAATGATCCTCATCCGGGAAATTCAAAAACCGACTAGGCACACCCCTCTCCTGCAGCGTATTAAACAACCCAATCCCATTCGCCACAGGGATACGATAATCCATATCGCTGTGGATGACGAGCTGGGGAGTACTGTATGCGAGGACGCGGCTGGGACCGGATGGATCCGTGTTGTGGAATGCGTCGCGGGCTTGCCAGAAAGTGCCGTTGAACTGGATCATTATTTGTGTTAATATCATGTATACTATATGTGTGTATAGGGGAAAAGAAAAGAAGGGGGTTTACCTCATGCTCAACAATCCACAACTCATCCGTCTCGACCCACGCATCACCAATAAACGGACCATCATGGCTAACCAGCGCCTTGAACTTACGTCCAAAGTCGTCGCCCTGGATCCATGTGATCATGAACGCGCCGAAGCTGGGGCCCGCGGCGACGCCGTTATCCGTGTCGATGAAGTCGTAGGTGTCGTGCACGTATTGCCAGGCTTTGGTTAGGTCGTCGAAGGCGGCGCCGGCTTTAGTGATTGATTTCATTTGTTAGCTGTGTATAAGAGGGAGAGGGTTTGGGAGTTAGGGAATGGGCATACTCCAGTTCAGTTGGATGGCGTCTGTGAGCTGCTGGCCGAACCCGGTGCTCCCCGTGGGGTTTGGTTGGACGACAACGTAGCCCTGGTCGGCGAAGACCTTGGAGTGCCATTTCTGGTTCCAGGTATCGGCCCAGGCGTCTTCGGGGCCGCCGTGGATGAGGAACGCGAGGGGGTATTTCTTCGATGGGTCGAAGTCTTGCGGGTAGGTGAGCCATCCTTGGAGCTGGATGGGGTTAGTATGATTGCTGTATATCATTGGGGAGGGTGATTTACGGTAGTCCAGTTGCCGTCAAAGTAGAATTCTTCAAAATCGGAGGAACTGAGGCCGCTGAGCTCGGGGTCGATCTCGTTGGCTGAGGCCAGTGTGTTGAGTACGCCCTCGTCTGGGCTGGCGGTGTAGACGCTCCAGCTTGTCCAGAAGGCGTTGGATGTGACGAGGAGGGTAGAGTTGGATAGGGCGTATTGAGCCGATACGGTGCCGCTGTCTGTGAAGTTTGTGGGCGTGAAGTCGTCTGCTGCATCGCCTGGGATGGCGAATAGTCTGGTTCGTCCTAGATCTTGGCTTGCCACGACGAGGTTGTCTTCGTCGATCCATGTCACGGAGGAGGGAGACCGGTCCCAGTCCTTTGCAAGGGGCGTGATAGTGTTATCAGTGATGGAGTATACGTATAGCACGTTGCGGTCTGACTCGTACGTATTGGTCGCCATTTGGAAGTATGCTATTTTATCGCTGCTGGGGGAGAACACGGGGTTGTTAGATTCGCCTTCAACTCCCTCCGGGGTTGCAGAGCTATCAGGGCCGTTGACGGCAAAAGCAGTCGCAGAGCCGTCGTGCGGAACGAGATAGACATAGGCAGCTGTGTTGTTAGCAAGAGGCAGCTCTGGGGCTTTGCTCTTGAAGGTAACCCAATTGCCATCAGGCGAGAGGTCATAGTCATTGTTGCCTCCAAAAGGAGGGAATGGGCTTTCGGCACCCTTGACTGGTTTGACCAGGTTGGTCAATCCGCCTGAAGAGGTGTATTGGACATTGCCGTCATCGCTGGTCGAGCTTTGCAGAGTGCCGGAGAATACGGCGTGGGAGGCAGTGGTCAGGTAGGTGTCCCAGTGGCGCACAAAGATGCTGTCGTAGATGCGGGCTGTACTGGGATAGGTCTCTGCGAGCTGATCGTTGTAGGCCGTACCGTTGGGATAGGACTTTCCACGCAGGATGAAATGCACGTCGCCGGAATCCGTCACGGTTGATTTGATGCCGAGGAAACCGGCGGAGAGAGAGGCTGCCTTGTACCTGCATCAGGTAGGATTAGCATCAACTCTCAGAAGTATAGTTTAAGGTCTAAACCAACGCATTTGCAAAGTCAGAAGTGTCCGCAATCCACAGCTCCACACCACCGGGAATCTGTGCATTGGTGCTGTTGATGTAGAGGAGCGTAGAACTGTCAGAACCAAGCCAGATAATCTCCTCAATGTCGCTATCATCGGTGAGGGTGGTGATCTCGCCCGATTCAAGGTCAATCAAGCTCCACCAGGTACTGCTAGAATGAGTGTCGAAGGACCATTGGGAGGTCGAGAATAAACCAGTGTCCTTGTGGTGTCAGTAGACAATGCTCTGTTGCATAGCTGGAACTGGCAATGGACATACACCGGACGGGTTTGGTATGACATCGCCTCTCTGCGGGGCACCGATCATCTGTCTGTGCAGATAGACCTGTTAGCCATGCACAATTTGGTCAATTCACAATGTTCTGAAATACTCACTCCGGGGTTAATGCTGACACTGCGGAGGCCGCAGCCGCCGTGATGGACAGCCACCGAAGAGCTCCCATCCTCGAGGACTTGATGTGATTGTCGGGGAAAAAGGAATGACTGGTCCTCGAGCCAAGATCAGCATGACATGGCTGCCAGGATCAATTTATGCCCAGCGGAAGGGTGGGAATTATCTCCTGGCTGGCTGAATGTCTGGCTGAGCTTCACGAGCTGCCAAATCGGGGCCAGCTTGAAGCAAGGGAGGGCTGGAGGAACAGCCCACGCACTGTGCTGACCCTGCCGATCTAAGGGGACCGACTGATCCCATTTGTTAGCGGCGTACCATTCCATCAATCATTCTTTTTTACTTGAAAGTGGCCTGGAGCAACTGTGGCGTCCGTAAAGCCTATTCGGACGCCATCGTTTGGGGAGGATTCAGTAGATGGCGAGGGGTAGAGGACTCGAGACCTGTAGATATTCCGTCTGGAAAGGGAGACTTTACCAACAGCAAGGGAGATGTTTGCAATTTGTGCATCGAATTGAGAAAGCTTGAGTGTATATTGCAATTCTCACCTCAGGCTGAGACATTATCCTTGACTCCAACGGAATGGGCCCTTACAGAGCAGCCCTCGAACTCTAACAATGCAAAAGCAATAGCAGAAACACTTTATTGTGGGTATCCAGAACCCAACGGCATTACATGTACATATACCTCCCAAGTCATGAAAGACATGCAGGAACTCCGCGCTTCAGTACTCGAAATCATCATCCACTCCTCCCTTGCCAGCATTCTCCTTCTGGACCGCTTCTTGCTTGCGGTACATCTCCGCCACGGCCCGCGTGGTCGTTGCCTGCTCCGGCTTCTTATCGTCTCGGGACTTGATAAATCGGGGGAAGCGAAGAGACACACCCTTTCCTCCCCCAGTCGTCCCCATGAACTCATCCGCCGCCGCCTTGTAACGGGGACTGAGCGTCAAATCCGCAGTTTTCACCTCCCACACCAACCGCGGTTCGAACCATACATCGGGCTGGTCTTTGGGCACGTTGGAGTGGGAGTAGAAGGGCTTGGGCCGATCAATCGTCAGAGGGGAGAGTGCATTGTAGAACTCTTCCAGGATCGCTTCCGAGAATCCCGTGCCGATGTTGCAGATCGTCTCATATGTTTGCGTACTTGAGTTATACGCAGCCAAGAGGAATGCACCGTAGACCGATGTACGCTTGCCTCGGCCATGATAGGCACCTAGTACAACAAGATCGAGGGAGTCACCGACTCCACTGAGATAATCCTTCTTGACCTATTCCATTGTTAGCAGACAGATCGTCGATTCTATCAAGTGAGGCTTACCTTGAGCCAATTCCGACTCCGCTTACTAGGCTCGTAGCCACTTTCCTCTGTATCCAACATTTTGACCATCAGACCTTCACATGATGCCTTGACACTATCATCAAGCAGTGTCTGGATCTCATCCAGTACATTGGTGTTTCCGTACTGAGCGAACTGGAATTCTCCTTCCGTCACCTGGAAAGAATCATGTAACAGCTCACGGCGTTCTCGTAGCGATTTTTTGACCGTAGGCTATCTGACAGTTAGCGGAGTCGAAGAGGCAACTTCAAGTAAAACTTACCTCGCCATTCAAGAACAGAAGGTCGAAGGCGAATACGCAAACCTTGACCTTGACATCTTCCGCTTTGACATCTTTCCTCTTGCGAGTCATGAGCTGTTGGAAAGGCAGAACCTTCTTGTTCTCCGTATCCCAAGCAACAGTCTCGCAGTCTAGTACAAAACTCTGGACACCCTCTTTAATCCAGCCATCAAGCTTGGCTAGAACGTCAGGGTACTTCTTCGATAGGTCCTCAGAATTACGCGAAAAGATCGCACTGAGGCCCTTGGCATCCTTCTTCAAGGTGGCTGTCGCACCCGGATATTGGTGGATCGAGTCAGGAGCGACGTAGTGGATTTGTGCTCGTTCGCCGTCGTACTTGTACTCGCAGGTGAACTCTTTTCCTTCGAACCGATCAAGAACTTCTGTGATGGACTTGGTGGGTTTGGCAAGCATGGGCTTGAGGGGAATTCCCGGCTGCAGCTTGCAAACCTTGGGCAGGTTGGAGAGGCCATGTTCGAGGATGGCTGGTATAATCACTTCATACGCCGGCAGTTCGCTGTAAACAGTCTTCAGAATTGCCTCACCTTCTGCCAACTTCTCGGCAGAGGGAGTCTTCTGGCCCTCCATAGCGGCCTCGTGTGCGACGACAGCTTGGGCAAGGGCAACAAGCACAGTCTTCTCCGCCAGTCCAAGTCTAAGCTTTCCTTCTAAGAATCGAACAATGTACTTCGCTTCGCTAGGTCCACCTTTGTCCTTGGTGATATCAATGCCTTTGCTTCCTTTGCCTGCGGTTGCTGCGTCGGCTGCTGAAAGCAGCTTCTTGATACCGGAAATCTTCTTATCCTGGGAACCATGGCCCTGAACCTTCGCAATACCAAGAAGACCTTCGTGCACTCCACGAACTGTCAATGGCTTCGGCTTGAACATGGTTGGCTGGTTGGACCGACTTTTGGCAGCTACCAAGCCAAGATCTCCGATTTCATGTTGGTCTGTTTTGATCACTGCCAGACTACGTCCGGTACTCTCACCAATAGCCTTCATAATCAAGGACTCGCCGATGCCGAGTTCAATGCCAGCATAATCTGCGGCCAGCTTGTTGATCATAAGTTGAACCGTAGGGAGAAGATCTTGGGGCGTTAGTCGCAATACTTGGCGAAGGAACAGCGAGCAATGAGCTAGGATCACTAGTCGTTTCGTCGTCATCTCGATCAGGGAAAAGGTGGAACAGAGCGCGGCATATGGAACTGGGTCGCCAGCTTTCCAATCGGGATAAGGCTCATTTCCAGCGGCCTTCAACGTAGCCTGAGCCTTCTCAATCTTTTTCTTCTTCACCTCGGGCTTCTCTTCGTCCTCACTTGCAGACTGTGCCTCCTCTTCCGCTACTTCATCATCCGAGACGCTCAATTCTTTCTGCGGTGTCTTCTCGCCTGATGCCTTCTCGACGACAGCTGGTGGCGAGGGCTCCTTCGACTGCGACCGCTTCTTAGGGCTTTTAGGCGATGGGGACTTCCGTTTGGGGGCGGAGGTAGCTTCGTCCCCTCGGGATGTCTTGCGGCGGCGCTTATTGACAGGCTGGATATCACTATCTTCATCCTCGCTGCTGTTTTCTCTCTTCAACTTGTTCTGATCGGCAGGCTCCTCTGGCTTCGACTCCGTGGCCGGGTCTACTCTGTCGGCGCCACCATTCGCGTCCCCATTAGTTCCATGTCCATTGACAGGCTCCGGATCTTGCGCTGTTTCCGATTCACTATCCTTTTTAGCGGCTTTGCTCTTCTTGTTCGAAAACGACAGCGTGGTCTGCTTCTTGGGAGCTTCTTTAGGGTCTGAATTCGAGCCGAAAAATCGCCTGTTGTTCAAGCCAATATTAGCAATCCATACATTAGGACTTACAGATGCATCCGAGGTCCATTCACACAGACGCACCCTATAGTCAACTGGGAATCCCGAACATACCCCAGGGTAGCTTGCTTCCTGCCTTTTGAATCTGCCATTATGAGCGACGATCGCGTTGCGCTTGAACCAATGCCACTATAGGTCCTTCTCAGCTGCTGATATACTTCAAGTTGCCTCGTTTGCGACGGAAGTAATGGCGAGCCTATTCGTGACAAGGTCAAGTCGCCAGTGTAGAAAGGCGACTCAAATTGCGAAGGCGCCGGAGCAGGTCTCCTGCAAGGGTATCGTAACAGTGGCGCAAGAAACGCTGAAGGGCGATTAGCGGGCATAGACGTTATCTCAAACGTCCCTCATCCTAAACTGGCAATGTATCGATTTATATGCACGAGAGTCGAGTTCCGAAAATCAGGCACCCAAGTCGACATCTACTGCTGCCTTCACGGAGCCTTCCATTGCTTAAACGGGAACGCGACGTGACGTGACGCGAGATCCCATTAAAGTCACGTGATCAGGTCTAGCAGGGAAATATCAACGCCACTTGCAGCCAAATTCAAAGGCAAAACGAGAATCAAAGACTTTGCCAGATACAAGCGCCTGTATAGACCTGAATCTCTCTGTATAATGGAGACCAATGTGATCTGTTGAAAGCGCAGCGAAGAGCTACAGTCAAACATTGCAAACACCCACAACACACCGCCTTATATCATTGGCAGAATGTGGGGGCGAAAGCGGCGAGAAACTATCGATAATGGCCTGGTCTGTAAGGCAGCATCGGCCATCTTCGGATTTCCAGCATTTGGCCCGAAGTCGTGCATCTTCCATGTCTGGGTTGCATATCAGATGGCTGTTATGCGATTGAATGCACGTCTAGTTTGATAGCATCTCTAACCATACCAATGGAGATCTCTAGACAGGAAGCTTTCAGCAAGGTATGAAGTGTACTTTATGGCAACAAGCTGCTTGCTAATAAATAGAAGCTTAAACCACCATGTGTTGAGCTCAGCTCGGTGGGCCTGCGATTCCGTGGGCGACAAGCAACTCCAAACGATGTCTTTCGAGCCCTCCAACCGGTGTACAACGTACTGGACGAGCTTGCTCGCAAAGATGCTCTAGATGAGAAGTTAGCAGAATATGCATTTTTCCCATTATGCCATATCTTCAATGAAACCCAAAGGTCTCCTGTCAACTGCTTGGAACTTTCCGTCAAGTGCCTGCGCATTCTCGTTGAGAAAGGATGGGGAAGGCGCTTGTCGCCACAGATGGGCAAGCAGCTCATCATCCTGTTAACCTTGATCGTGGGTGGCACGCCGAATAAATCAGGTGAAACCAATTCAACACAGACTCGATCACCAGAGCTCGCCATTGCGGGATTCCACTGCCTTCTCACTATCTTCAATGTTCTAGATGGACCTGTTGCTAAGCAGACTATTTACCATGAAGTCGGTACTGCGACTATCGTTGACCAGATGGTCTATCTTATGCTCGAAGGCGCCGCGGATGAGGGGTCAGACGAACTCTGCATATCAGCAGCCAAAGCGCTTCAAGCACTCTTTCAGCGTATCACAGATCGAGTAGTGCTGGCA